GGCTGAGCCTGAGAGTCAAAAGGGTATGTGCTGCTTCACCGAGGTGGTCTCTGTGGACCTTTCCATTTCATTTAAAACACTTTTCTTGATCAGTGGGTTTTATCTGCAGAACTTATACAAACGAATCATTCTTCAACTGTTCCAGAGCAGGTAAAACTAAGAATGAACCTGCACATTCAGAAGTATCATTCTTCCAGAATCTCTGTCTCTCTGACATGGTAGTTTGTCCAGTTCAGGAAGTTGTTTTTTTTTTAAGTTGGGGAACATTCACTCTCCCACTAACGTATAAGTTATAGCAGCTGCCTTTTAAACTCAGTCTTGTTTAAAACTCACCATTCTTGAAGGAACTTTACTTCTCCTATCCCACTCCAAGAATGGTAGAGTTGTTTATTTTGCCTCCTCCACCCCTTATGCCCAGATCTGGGAAACAGTGAATGGAAATAGATGGTTATAGGGACAGACATGGCCCTAGGCATCCCAGATGACATGGAACAGCTGTGAGGTAGCTGTGGCAGAGCATGATTTACAGTGAGCAGCACTTGGTAGGACACATAATCCTTTCCCTGACAACTGCTCTTTGCCTGGGACCGTGCCCCCTCTGGTATGTCACTTCAGATAGGTGGCCGACACATATCTCGGAAGTTCCCAGGTGGGAATGGGGGATGCAGAGTAAAATGATGTGCACTTCTGTTTCTGTTCTGCAAAGTGCACTCTTCCCCAACTTTGCAGCTATTCATCAGCAACCAGAGGCCCCAGATCTACCTCAGTCACCAAATGATTTATTGTATTTTATTGACCATCTGCCTTTCTCACTTGAGACTCGTGGCAAATGATACATTTACCCAATGTCCAGTTGCTCATTAGAAATCAGTCTTGGTTTATGAAGGACTTGGGATTCTTCAGGAATGAGAGATCTCTTGGCAATGGAAAAGTGTGCCTCAAACGACTAAGTATTGACGGAATGTTTGAAGATCATAGGGGACAGACGCAGCATGTATGTGTTGGGTGAAGTGATGTGGGAAAACGTAAATTGTGCCAGTCCTCTGTGACAGAAAATAAGCAAGTTCATAACTTTTTTTAAAAGTATGTTGGTATAATTGAAAAGATAAAAGAGGCGGGACTTGTTGGTAATTCAGAATAGTCTAGGTCAAAAAGCCACTCTAATGATTAATTGCTAACGTGGGTTATCCTGTGATTCTTGAAATACTGTCCTCTTTGTGAAAAACGTCAAAAGCAATGGCCTTCTGGCAATTACAGTGCCATCCTAGGCAGAGTATAATCCTGATTAGGATTGCACTGTTACTCTGATGATGACTTTACATTCAAAAAAGATAATCTTCTGGACGCATGTTATGAGGTGGGGATCCCATCTAGAATTTCAGTGGTCAAGGGCAGGCAGTTTTCATGATTTCCTGTCTTCCCTGTTGGCCCAAACACACATACACACCCCTTGTAATGTCACTCCTGAAGGACAGGGGATTCCCCCCCCCCCCCCGAAATAACTTCAGGTGGATCCAAGGTCTTCTATGGGATGGAGGGAATCAGCAAAAATCACCCCTCTCCTGGCACCCATGGAAATTCTAGGCAGGCTCCAAGCCATCATGTAGAGAAAAAGTATTGTGGCATACTATACAGAAGCATATTTGCACTACACTGGGTTGTGTCTTTTGTGGACTTCCAGTGTATCATAGTAATTTTTATTTCTTGGAATTCCTGGAAACTCTAGCCTGCTTGCCAGCCTAACATGCGAAGAGCGACACAAGAGCACCCTGTCCGTACCTCCCTCGACTTGGAGCTGGACCTCCAGGCTTCTCGGACGCGACAGAGCCGCCTGAACGATGAACTGCAAACACTGCGTGAACTTAAACTGAAGCTTGAGGACATGAAAGCGAGAGGGGAGACAGAGCTTCCTCCATGTGTGCTGGAGGATGAAAGATTCCAAAAGCTCTTGAAACAAGCTGAAAAGCAGGTACGAAACAGAAATCGTCACACATCTCTAAATGGGACAGAGTAAAGCTGCACTGCCTATAGCAGCTATAAATTAACTTCACTCTGAACAGTCCAATTTGCAAAGTAGTAGAATCTGAAACTCAGAGATACAGCTTTATTTCCAATGAACCATGAATGAAATGAGTTCATGGAATCATTCTGTCTCTCTGGCTCTACAAAACTGCTCCTGAGGATTGATGGAGGGATCCTTGGAAACAGTGAATCTTCAGGATCTGCCTAATTGGTCACCATCCTAAGTGCTTTCAGACCAGAGCTTCAGATGGGCTATAAATGCACTTGCTTGCCATTCAACATGGAACTGTGAAATGGGCCTATCTCTGGTTTTGAACACAGAGGTAGTAGGGATTTCAAAAACATAAATACTGATCTTTATCTCAATTTATGGATTTTAATGGATCGTTTAAAACTTAGATTGCCATATTGCAGTTATATTTAAAAAAACAACTATTAGCATAAAAACAGTAGTTACAGTTGGCATAGTTGGGTATTGTTATGTTTGTCCACCCCAAAATTAGAAATACGAAATACTTAAAACAATGGATTGGATCCAAGGATTCCCTTTGGCTAAATGAGGAGTTTTCTTTCAATGAAAGGAGCTTTCTTTTGATGAAGAAGCCATCCTCTGTCAGAAGAAGAGTCCTCACTTAGCTGGAACCCTTGGATCCAGCCCCATAGTCTTTTACTAAAATCCCTTTTTACTGGTATAGGAAATCACCGCCCTTTAAACTTCACAAAGCTCTTCAGTAGACTTTAAAAAAAAATTCTTTGCAATCCAGATTTACACGATTCCATGCCAGCAGCAACTGGTTCAATAAAGGATTGCCTTTCCTATTTTTCAAATGTTATTTGTAAACTTAAAATCTGTTGAGGTCACTGGGTTTTTGCATTCACTTCACTGACATTTAGAAGTCCAGACTATTTGTCTCTCTCCATTATCTCCCACACATTAGAAAAAGCTTAATTGCTGCTTTGTTATTTTTCTTTCATCTCATCTCCAAGACCTATTTTAAATATTAAAGTTCTAAAATAGAGATTTTATACTTAACATGAATCCGAGTGCGCAGAAATTTCATTTGAAGAGCTAGATTTAGCATCTACTTTAAGCCTATAAAATACCTCTTTCATTGTTAAAGTCTGTGTAGTGCCACGAATCTTCAAAAGCTTGTATGTGTCCTCTTCTTCGTGTAATATGTTTGCTCATACAACAACAGTACAGCACACAGTAAAAAGTAGCCAAGAATAACAAAAACAACTGTGAGCTGAATTTCCCGCAAAATATTCACAAAGGAGACTTCATCAAAGTGAAATGCATCTATTGTCTGGAATAAATCTATCCATATAATCCATCACAGGAAAATGCAGAAGCCAAAGAATAAATGTATGAGATAAATATCCAAAAAGTGCAACACTTTTCCTAGGTAACTTTTCCAGTGTTTCAGACTTCTGGTCCTTCCTCAGGAACAAAGAATAACTACTGAGAGTCTCGTTCCATCTCCTTTTAAGATAATGCTTTTCTGCTACTTCAACATTGGGCAAGGTCTCCTTAGCTCTAATCTGCACCCCTAAAGGCTGCTTCAATGAATCAGGACCAAAACATGCCTCCACAAAGCAAATCTGTGTCTATTACGGAAGTCTGGTGTTCATTAGAACTGCAAAAGTCAGTGGTCGCTTCAGGGCTTTTGGTGCGCTAATGTAAAAAACTGAGGCAGAAAATGAAACACCAACACACACTTCATTAACACGATAGGCAAGTATTTTATAAAGCTGGTCGGCAACACAGGATACAGATAAATAGAGGATGGTTTTGAGAGCGAAAGACAGTGGGCATTCTTCCTTAGAGTTTTCAGGCACTTTGCTGTGCAATGCTTGCATGTTGCCCGGTTGTAAACACAGATCATGCCTTGAATCCACTGGAACGTGTCTGTGGACAGGAGGATTTCTCCTCCTTGCTCTTGCTGCAGACCAAAATAAACCCCTAAGTGTTGATCTTTCTCAGAGGACCTCAGTCTTCCAGGAGCAGCACTGGGGGGTGCATTCTGGCTACAGTGGGAGGTGGAGGCGAGAAAGTTGTGCTCCACAGGTGGAAACTGTTGTCTGCTGAAACATTCCACTCCAGGCCTTCTTTTTAACTCATCCTAAAGGAAGCCCCTGGGCATGAAAAAAGGGGACTGAACTGTAGATCGCTGCATGCAGAATCCTGTTTAAAGGGCTTTCCAGCCTTCTCCTAGCTTCTACATGCGCATGCCAGCGAATCTTCTTTCTGGGTATGCAAACGTGGCATGCATAGGGCCTGGTGCATGAATTAAGAGCCTTTTCTAAGAGATGCAAGGCTGCATGGAACCATTTTCAGCCCCAGTTCATTTCAGTCATTGTGCCACTAGGGGTTCTCATTTTCTAACCTGAACAATGCACTGCTTCCAGCTGCAGCACTGTACCCTTCTCCTCCACTCGTAAGTTCACGCTGTGTCCCATTATCACATTCTGTTGTAGAAATCTTGCCTGATGGGCTTAAATAGGTACTCCTCTTTCCCAGCCTTCCCGAGTCCTCTGTCATATTGTCAATTGCTACAATGGTAGCTGTAATTTTGTTCCCGCAACAGGCTGAACAATCAAAGGAGGAAAAAAAACGGGGCTTAAGTGCTGAAAAACTGATGAGGAAAGCTTCGAAGGATGTGTGCCGGTTGCGAGAGCAGAGCCAGAAGGTGCCGCTACAAGTGCAATCATTTCGGTAAAGAGAGCTCTGATCTTTTGGAATTTACGCAGTCTGCGAGAATTTATGGGTTAGCCAATCAGGCCTAAAAAGCAGCCTCAGGGAAGCAAACGGATCGGGGCTGCCACAGTGAGGAAGGAGGGTAAAACTCTGCCCCTTGTGGGGTTGCCAGTCTCCAGGTGGTAGCTGGAGATCTCCTGGGATTACCACTGATCTCCCGGCGACAGAGATCTGTTTGCCTGGAGAAAATAATCACTTGGGAAGGTAGACTCTGTGGCATTATACCCCACTGAAGCCCCTCCTCAAGCCCTGCCCTCCTCAGGTTCCACCACCCCAAATTTCCAGGTAACTCCCAGCCCGGAGCTGGCAACCCCTGTTCCCTTCCTTATGCCTTGGTTAGGAAAAAGACAGGCAGGTGTATTTGTGTCTGTCTTCATGCTGCACTGTGGCTGAGGGCCACCCAGAGGTCTCGTCGACTGAGGAACTAGTGTGCAGGGACCGAGCAGGGCTGCTACTGAACTTCATGGCCCCGCTTGTTCCCACTTAAGAAGCTTTATTTCATTTTCACTTTTCCCTTGTGGGAAGTGAACACACAAGTTTGTTTGTTTGTTTGTTTGTTTGTTTGTTTGTTATGTCAATTTATACCCCGCCCTTCCTGCGAGCAGGCTGTTTCATGCTGTTTTCAATATTTCTGTACAAGAATAGGAGTGGTGACAAAGTATCTTAGTGTGTGTGTGTGTGTGTGTGTGTGTGTGTGTGTGGAGGGGGGATTATAAAACACACTCATGAACCTGCATACAAGACACAGAATTAGTATCAATGGGAAACTATAGAAATTCCTGACGATGTTGAACTTGTTATGTAAGCAGAAAGCAATCTAGAGGTGTGTTGGTGCAGTGGGAGTGATTAAACTAGGGTTGCCAAGTCGTTTCTCAGCCACAGCGGGGGACTCCTGGGCGGCGACTGGAGCATGCGCAAAGCAAGCACGCACCACAGGCACGTCACCAGGAAGTGACGTTAGGACGCTGGGCACGCTGGGGGTAGGGCCACGACCATCAAAGGGAAAAACCATAGAGTTTTCCCTCCGATGGTCGTGGCCCTGCCCCCAGCGTGCCCGGCGTCCTAACGTCACTTCCTGGTGACGCGCACGTCGGGGTGGGGTTCCCCCCGGGGCCCGATCCGCCAGCGGCAGGGAACGGGCCTCTGGGACGGGGGTTTCCCCACCCCCCGGGGGGATTTGGCAAGCCTAGATTAAACCTCCTTCTGATACACTGTTTCTTCTACGGTTAAGCATTTTCACTGGGCAGTGTGGCTATTCAGGTCTGCATTCTAGTCACCAGATCTCTCAGATGGTGCTATTAGCATTGGCATAGTGCATAAGAAAATGCTTTAGTGGAAGTGTGAGACTAATACAGACTAGAGAGGGGATTGAGACAGAAGTACTCTTGCCGGGCGTCGGAATAAGCAATTTAAAACATGGCATTAATAAACTGTCCTTTAAGAAGACGATTGTTGTGGTCACTTGGAAGTCTGGGCTCTGATCCATTCATTCACACATACAAGAGATAGTGCAGGATGTGCCATCATCATTCCCATCAAAGATGCAGACTCAGAGGTACCTTCGTGAATATCGCCATATAGATGCAGGTGTGCATCCCAATGCAAATCTCCAGCCTCCTTGACCTGCGAATCTGGAAGCCTGCTTCCACACTTGACCCTCCCTTGCTGGACTGGGCTGATTGACGCAAGGGTCTATTGATTGACTCCTGGCTGGTATAATTCAATGGACTTCATAAAGTCAGCATACTTTAAAGGCAAAGCTTCAAGTATGCAGAGATTTGTTCTCTTGGGTGGGAATTTATAATTACATAAGAACATAAGAGACGCCAATGTTGGATCAGGCCAAAGGCCCATCCAGTCCATCACTCTGTGTCACACAGTGGCCAGAAATACCAATGCCATCAGGAGGTCCACCAGTGGGGCCAGGACATTAGAAGCCCTCCCACTGTTGACCCCCCCCCCCCAAGAAGACAGAGCATCACTTGACGTGGACTCTAATCCGGGAGAACCGGGTTTGATTCCCCACTCCTCAACATGCAGCTGCTGGTGTGACCTTGGGTCAGTCATAAATTTTTTCAGAGCTGTTCTCTCAAGGGCAGTTCTTGAGAGAGCCCTCGCAGCCCCCTCTACCTCACAGGGTGTCTGTTGTGGGGAGGGAAAGGGAAAGGGATTGGAAGCCACTCTGAGACTCCTTCGGGCAGTGAAGGGCAGGGTATAAATCCAGTCTCTGTTGTTTCTTCTTCTTTTTTCCCATTGAGTTGGATCCAGCAGTAAATGTTCACAAACGGAAGAAGGGGGGGATGATTTTTGCCACTTCACCCTTTAGGGTTCCCTGTCCTCTAAGAACAGCATTTGGAGCGGCAAAGGAATGGGTGTGGTGACAAAGCTTCCCTGATGCAGATCTCTTCTGCCACCGGATCAAACCCATTTCTTTTTCTCCTGCCGTACATGTTACAGCAGATATAACAGTGAACTCTGTACCTTCTGACCATGTAATCCCCCCACCCTCTTTCTTTTTTAAAGGGAGAAGATTGCATACTTCACAAGAGCAAAAATCAGCATACCTTCCCTTCCAGCCGATGATGTCTAACTGTTCCCCCGCCCCCATCTCCACAAGGTGTTTTTCTACTTGTTCATCTTGTTTTTATATATAAAGATGACAGATTTTATAGTATAGTTACCTGGGTTTAAAGCCTCCTGTTTCACATCCCACTTATTGATACAGTTTGTAAACAACCCCCGCCACAACAGTAAATTGTGCTCCTGTATGTTGTTGTTTTTTTTAAAATGCAAGAAAAAGCCCTCTCTCTTCTCTTCTGTGCAAGTCTCCCACACCGAAAAACCAAAGTAGATGATTTCTGGTACACTGATGCTGATTTTGTACAGTTTGTATGTATTGCAGATGTGCTACTATTTTGTAAAGATGGATCTAAAGAACAAAGGCAGTACCAAGTATATCCTGTTGAATGGCACTGTGTCAAGAAATATTATGTTCAGCGGGAGGATTCTGTTCACTGTTGTATTTTTTTTTTCTCACAAGGGCAGACTGTGAAGATGGCTGCTAGGCCACGCAATATTTTTGTACAAACGTGTGACTTCTTAGCTAGCAACAAACGCAAGCTCTTCTTCCAAAACAGCAAGACTGCCTCATGTAGACAGGTGCTGTTGACGTCTGTCCCCTTCATTGGAACTTTCAGCTAAGGACCCTGTCTTTTTATATATGAAGAAAGAGTCCTGTGACACTGAGCTACAGGAGCGTGGTTTTGTGAATGTACTGGACCTTGGGCTGCACTCAGGTTGTCGAGGCTCCTTGCATCCAAAGGCAAGGGAAGGCGGTGTGTGGCAACCCTCTAACCCTGAAATGTGTTAAACTGAACCTACCCAAGGGCAGCTGTTTTCTGAAACTGAACTCAGGTTCATGCAAAACATTTAAACCTGAGGAGTCAAACACTTTAAAAGATAAAACACTTCAGTGTAATGTGTACATCTAGCACAACAGCCAGTAAGTAGCCTGTAGGGATAGTTGACTCCAGTGTATGAAGCCCTAGGAGACCTGTGCAATTTTCAAAGGAGTGGTTCTTTGCAAAATGCAAAATCCGTCTAAGCACCGAACATGTTGTTGGTATAAAAAATGTATTCTAAAGAGAAATGCATGAGATTAGAGCACTTAAAATTGAGTTTTGGTAGGTAAAAGATGAAATACACCAGGCAAGCTGATTCCTAAAATTAAGTATGGCACAAAAAGGAGTAATCATGACTGAGATATCTATGGAACTAAAATCTTGGTTTGTTTATATAGCTGTTTGTATTGACAAAAAGGCAAAAGACAATATGAATGTGCTTATCAGGGCTGGTACTGGGAAACAAAACTTTCCAGTGACTTTTCTAAGCAGCATAATGCTAAAAGTGTGTAAGTGGGTGTGTATATAACTGGCATATTCTCTCTGAGTGTCAGCTTGCCACAAATAGCTGGTCTTCACTGGGGTCATAGTAGGGCTTGGCTACCATTAGCTTGGTTGCTGTGATGTCGCAGTTGGTTTGCCAACCTCCAAGTAAGGCCTGGAGATCTCCCAGAATTGTAAGTGATCTACAGACTATAGATCAGTTCCCTTGATCTACAGATCAGTTCCCCTGGAGAAAATGGCTGCTTTGCAGGGTGAACTGTATGGCATTATACTCTGCTGAGGCCCCTCCCCAAGCCCACCTTCCCCTGGCTCCTCCTCCAGATCTCCAGGGTTTCCCAACCCACAGTTGGCAACCCTATCTCACAGAGCAGCTGAGCAGCCTAGGGCAAGGCAGTTGATTGCTGAAGAGGACTGGAAGACCCAGAGGTCATTTCGTAGAAAAAGAGCTAGGGGAACTCATTAGCATAACTCATTAGCATATGCCACACCCCCTGACATCAGGGGCCCAGCGGTGGACCTGCAAGGCCAGCGGGAGTGCGAGGAAGCCCCGCCAGGGCCCTCCCTGGCCCCAGGCAGGCAGGGGTGGGGAGAGGCGGGGAGGAAGCAACTTACCCTCCCTCTTCTCCTACCTCCTCCTGGCTGAATGAGGGCTGGAAGCGGGGTGGCCGGAAGCAGAGGGCGGGGCTTCGTCATGTGCCCCGCCCCCCTGCACCTCACCCGGGGGAACTGCGTTCCCCCACGTTCTTCCCCGAAATGACCTCTGGGAAGACCTTAGGAACTGAATTCTAGCTTCTTGCAAACTTGCAAAATTACAGCTGCAGTTCTATGTACATTGTCGTTCACAAGACTGAACGGTAAGCCACAGAGATTCTGCTTGAAGGGATTTTCAGTTACACCTTGGGAGTACCAATTGTGTGAATCATTTGATCAGCACAAGAGAATGACACTTGCTGCTTATATATGTGACCCATAGAGAAAAACATACCTACATATGAAATCTAGGTAGAAAACAAAAAGCTGTTTGAATAACTGTCCCTGTTGAAAATAGCAAAATATTGTATGGTTAGGCCCACGAAGATGTAGCATTTTCTTTTGCTGGGATGTAATTATTTTGTTGAAAGATCAGGAAAACATTTGTTGCCATCTTCAGAATAACTGGTGTATTTTTTAAAACACACACACACACCTGTGCCTTAATTTTTATAATGTAAATCTCCCCAGTGGGTTCTCTTGTTATGCACAAGTCTATGTAATTATTCAGATCCTGTAAACATGACTTCAGACCTGGAGACAGTTAAGAAAATTAACTGTGCTTGGTACTTCATGGATGCCCCTTACTGTTTTACGTACATTTTAGAACTAGGTATAAGCACACACATGGCCATTCATTGTGATGAGGTCAGTCTCTAAAAGCTAAACGCTCTGAAATTATTTAATATAGAAATGAAGGTTGACTGTTTCAGCTTCTCAGTTTTGACACTATAAAATGTTCGTAGATTTGATGTATAGAGTTGTACCTTATGATTTATTTATTTTCAGTCTTATTTATGTTACTGTTTAATATAGTTCAGTTCTGGCCATTTAAATTTGCAGGTTTAAAAAAAACTACTGTCAGAAAGATTTCTTGATTCTTGGGAGGCAACCTGTTTTTATATATATAAATACACATTAAATGAATTTCAGAAGGGGACTAAAAAGGATTTTCTCTGATATAGATGTTGGCAAATAATATTGTTGGCTATTTATAAGACTTTCTGATTTTTAAAATGAGAGAGATCTTCCATGCCTTAACATGCCCCATAACTACCCAAGGGTACAAACTTAACTCAAGAATACTTTTGAAAGAGTTCTGGCTTTTTAAAAACTGACCCAGTTATTTTACAGTGATGAAACAGCATGCTGATTTTTTTTAATGGATATGGACAAATTTCAGACTATACAGATACCACATTTAATGCAGGATATTATTCTTCATGTAACAGAAGAATTATAACAAACAGTTCTCATTATCCCATTATCACTATATTAGTGCAAATCTGCTTGTTGAATTTGAAGTATTACAGGTACACGGCAATATTATTGTTTAGCCAAATGAACAAAAGTATAGCAAATTGTTTATAGGATGAAAATCAGATTTCAACTTTTTTATCTTGTTACAATTAAGAATAAAATGCTCAGGACTGAACTAAATATTTAATCAGGTTATATCACGAATGTCTTTCTTTGCTAATATTGTCTATAAATGTACACATGTACATCACTTAGATTAACTTTCATCTCTGCACTTTCCATGTGTTTCAGTGATTTGGAAAAAATACATTTTTTTAACAAAGTTCTCTTGCTCAGTCGTGTTTTGTTTTACAAAATTTCTCAGTCAGATCAAGTTGCCATGACTTTGGTAAAGGTTTCTACATTTAGAAGCTTTCAATTTTATTTGAAGAGCTACTGCCTGCAATATTAGTGGTTAATTCATTCATATAATCACTAATAAGTAAAATTGTATCTTTATATTTACCACCATAGACCTATTAAAAAAGTGTGGATGGGCAGGAATATAGGCCGTTGTCTGTGTGATTTGCCTGAAAACTGGAATACCAAACAAATGCATGAAATTTAGGGAATTTAGGCATTATGCTCATGGCCCTTTCCCTTAGTTCATGCAGGAACAGAGAAACCTGAAACTCTAGCTTCAAACACATCTTTTTTGAATGGGTATTAATGAAATCTGGTTCAGCCAGTATCATTTTTTTTACAACTGCTCTCTGCTGGATAAACTGTCTGAATGAACTGGTCAAACAGGAGCCTGTTGGTTATGTCTTAAGCAGCCCTTGGCAGCTTAGCCTCTTCTCTAGAAGGAACAGGAAGTTGTTTATTTGTTAGGTAATGGTGATGCTGTTTCCCCTAATTATTTGTGGTGATAGCAGCTATTTGTACAAATCAGGTACAATCTGAAGCCAACATGTGGGATCACTGTACAGTTTGGGTTTAAAATTTTGTTCAAAATTTGAGTAAAACCTTCAAGATTTGGCGGAAAGTATTTTAGTTTTAAAACTTTTAAGTTCAGTGAAGATTGCATTTCCTTATCTGTGGATAACTCCTCTTTGTCATTTTTAATGTACCAGTTTATCCCTGACCGTATTGTCGGTTGACGGTATCCTGCATTGGCCTGAAAGACTGAAGAATTTCAATGAATGAATATACAATTACTAGGCAAAGAATGAGGAATCTACCAAAGTAATCAGTAAACAGTGAATCCTTGCGTAATTGTCTAGCAGCAGTCTTTTTAGTGCTTCTTATGAAGTTTCTTAAAAATGGGTAACCAAGGAAGCAAAGCAAGGCTTAAATTTCTGTTCCCCCCCCCCCAAAAACAAACCCTCAAGTAAAAGCACTTTCTTTGTCCTTGTTTCACTGTCATGGAATCAATTCAAAGACCCTTCTGTCATGGAATCATTTTAAAGACCCTTCCCCCCCCCCCCAATACATGCTGCAGTCTTCCAAAGTACTTCGTCTTCTAGCACAGCTAGAGGGTAAAAAGTTAGAATTTTTACATAACATTTCTTTCGTTCTTTCCTGGAACACATTCATTTGCTAAAGTTCCCTGCTATCCTTTCTGTATATTAAAAAAAAAATCTTAAGATCCCAGTCTTACAAGTGACCGAATGCACCAGCTAATATGTCTCTTAGTAGATAACTGTAGCATTTCCATAAAATGTAAGGTCGGTATTGCTCAGATTTTGGCACCAACTTCTGAACTTGCTACAGGTAGAGATATTGTTTAGAGAGAAATTTATATTCTCACACTTTGAAATTCTTTTACAAATGCCTAGTTTTGAGGAAGGACATTTCATATTATCTGGTACCATTTAGAAATACTTTGCACACTGGGAAACAACAGCAAGCCATTATTTCTAAGGAACGAAGCCCATTTTCTAATAAAGCTGATACACAAACTTTCGTGTCTTTTCTCAGTACAGGTTACAATTTTATTTTTAACCTCTTTTTAATAGCTTTTAAAAGGTTAGTATTATTAAATTATTAACAATTAGGTTATTTAAAGAAAGGCATTTTTAAGTTGCATATTTATGGGACACATACCAGATGGTCAAGCTAAACTAAAGAGGATGCTTCTTTCGTCTAGTAAAATGAATGCAGTATTTCTCAGATTTTTAGGAAATACAGGTGGTTATGCAGACTTCAGACCAAACCTTTACTATTTAAAACAGCACTGATTCTATTCAAGAACAAAGATGGAACTTTTTAGAATTTTTTTGTTTATTTTCTGCTTCCACGTTTTAAAAGTATAGGCAGACATAAGTGTATCCAGGTGAGCATTTTTAAAGGAACTTGGCATTTTCCATGTGTTGAATCACTAAATCTTCCACAGATAACAACAAGGCAGAGGAATCCTTTAAATGCTACGCCAGTCTTGCAGAGTACTTGGCAACTAAAAACTTTTCCTTCCAACACTTTGACTTGTTTCTTTTAGTAGATTAGATCCCTAACACCAGAATATTCCATCCATTTCTAGGCTGTCCAAAATGTTCGAGTACAGAGGGCCACACATAGAAATTAATTGCTGAATCTGGTAGTGTGTAGTTGTACGATATGAGGAATCATTAGATTTCCTTTTGTCTTATTTGAACATTGGTGGATTTTCGTTTTTGTTTTCACATTTCAGTTGAAACAGACAAAACTATACCGTGGTAGTTTTCTAGACAGTCATTTTAGTCCCTTCCTGCGAAGCCAGCATTTTCAACTTTGCAATAACACGGGTAAAGCACTGCTCTTTAAATAAAAAGTAGAGGAAGAAAGACTTAGATGCCCAAGAGTAGTGAATCGGCAGAGGACCAAAGAGTCCTTTGAATATTAATTTGAGCAAAGTTTTGTCTGGCATTTTTAAGAGTCTGAACAGAAAAAGAAGCCTTTCTGTCTTCTCAAACTCTTAGGCTTTTGGGTCTTTTGCCACTTTCCGAGTGCTGACAGGTATCTTGCTTTTCTGCCATGATATAATGAGGCGAGGATGAGTGAGCATCAGTTGAGCAGACGGTGCAATTCATCAAGGAGCCTCCAAAGATGAGGCAGAATCCAGCAAACCAGCCTACAAACAGGGCTTCTCCAAAGTCCCACCGGGGAACAATGTCTGGAATGGTCTCATCCCAAAATTCCTGCACAGTCATGTGAGCAACCCATGAAA